AAGAAGTAAAACTATATCTGTTTACAAACAGTAAGATCTATGTGTAGAAAACCCTAAAGATTCCATAAAAACCTATTAGAGCTAATAAATAAATTCAGCAAAGTAGCAGAATACAAAGTCAACACACAAAAACAAGTTGCATTTCTATACACTAACAATGAACAATCTGAAAAGGAAATTACAAAAACAATTCCATTTACAATAGTATAAAAAAGAATAAAATAGTTTGGAATTGACCAAGGAGGCAAAAGACTTATATAGTATAAACTACAAAACATTGATGAAAGAAATTAAAGAAGACATAGGTAAATGGAAACACATCCCACATTCATGGATTGGAAGTCTTAATATTAAGATGTCAGTATTACCCAAAGCAATCTACAGATTTAATGCAACCCCATTAGAATCCCAATAACTTTAACATTGAACTGCAACAGGTTTTCCATGTCAAAGGAAGAAAGTGAGGTGTTCCTGAGGAACGCTGGTTGGGCAGCCAAAGAAGATATGGTTTAATTTACACAATTAAAAGAAATCAAGGATGGATAATCAGGAGGCCAAGGGTAGCCACCCTAATAAAGTCATGATCCTTTGACCAATTTGCAAACTTAAGCCATTTCTCAAACCTGGAAGCCACTGATTAGAGGAGAGGCCAGAAAACAATTAGGAAGGTCCTTATAACACCAAGGCAAGTGCCATCAATAGAAATTCCCTGGTCTTTCCCACAGGGACTATTGTCTACTTGGAAAATGGTATATTAGGGAAAGGGAAATGGCCAGACCTTTCTGGTTTTGTTGAACTCAGAGTCTGAATTGACATTGCTACTTGGGGATCAAAAGTGCCACCATGTCCTCCCTGTTAAAGAGGGGAAATACAGGAGCTAGGTTATGAACGGAGTCCTGGCCGCAGCCCAGCCCGCAGCAAATCCACGGCCCCACCCGTGGTCACTTCCCTGGTCCCAGCTGTACAAATGGAATGGATGCATTTGATGGCTGGCAGAACCCTTACATTGGCCCCTTGACCCAGGAGGCAAGAGATACTGAGGTGGGGAAGGCCAAGAAAACGACTCTGAAACTGTCTCCTTCCCCAGCCCCAACCAAGAGAGTTAATGAGAAACAATGTCACACCCAGGGGGCAGTGCAGGTTAGTGCCATCCTCAAAGACTTCAAAAAGTGAGAGAGTGGTGGCCCCTGTCATTCACACCAGTCTGGTCCTACAAAGCCCAGATGGAGGGGCCGGCCCGGTGGCGCACTGCTATAGTGCGCCACTTGGGAAGCGCGGTGGCGCTCCCGCCGAGGGTTCGGATCCCACATACAGACCGGCCGCTCACTGGCTGAGCGAGGGGCGGGAGCAACACCGAGGGTTGCGATCCCGTTGCTGGACACGAAAAAAGACAAAAAGGAAAAAAAAAAAAAAAAAAAAGCCCAGATGGATCACAGCAATAACCATGAGCTACCACAAACTTAACTAAGGAGAAATGCCAATCACCGCTGCTGTGCCAGATGCGGGGCCTTTGCCAGAGCAGAGTGACGTCCCCCAGCACGTGGCATGCACACACTGTCTGGGAATGTCTTCTTTTCCATCCTATCAGAAAGAATATGAAATGCACCTTGCATTCACACAGGTCTGGCAACAGTATGGGTTTACAGTCTCGCCCCAGGCCTACGTTAACCCTCCCATCCTCTGCCACAGCAGGATTAGAGAGGACCCATAGGATCTAGTTTACCTCAGAACATTGCAGTGGTTCATTACAGCTTTAGCAGCAGGCTCACTAATGAGACCAGATGAGCAAGAAGTGGCAAGTGCACGGGAGCCTTCGATGGCACAAGAACTCAGAGGGCAGGAGACAGACCCTACGGAGACTCAGGGGTCTGGCCATCAGTGAAGTTTTTAAGAAGAGGACATCCCTTCCAAGGAAAAGGACAAATTATTATAAATCACAATTCTTCATCACAGAGAGAAGCCAATTCTTGGTAGGCCTCTTTGGGTTCCAGAAGCAGACTGTCCCTCACTTGGGAATGCCACTCAGATCCCTACCCCAGGCATCGTGGAAGGCTGCCAGTACTGAGCAGGGTCAGGCAGGAAGAGGCAGGCAGGCCTGCTACTGGGGCTGTCCTACTTGGCAGACCCTGTAATACCAGAGACATCTGCAGTGGGAAAGATACCATAGAGTTGGTGGCAAGCCTCAGTAAGAGCTCACAGCCAAGAAGTTCAGGGTCTGGAGCAAGGCCAGGCCAAAGGCAGTGGGGAACTCACATCACCGGAAAAGCAGCCCCCATGGGCTGCTACTGTTACCTGGTGGGGACATTCAGTCACCAGACATGAACTTTCTGTCATGAGTGTGGGCTTGGTCCTGTTGCAGAGCAAACCTCACAGCAACCCACTGCAAGACAGAAGCTGCACATCTAGACCCATGTCAGTTACCACCAGGGCCCCCACACTACTCTGTCAGCTCACACCAAGGGCCACACAGGGATTCCTCATCGCCAGCTGAAAGAGGAGGAAATGAAGGAGATCGGACATAGGAGGGTCAGTTCAGTGTGACAGTGTGAGTCAGAAATGGACGCCCTGAAAGACAGCGGCCAGAGCCCGAGGCAGTGCCTGGTTGTCTACTCTGTGTGGAAAGAGAAGTGGCCCAAGGTAGCAATACACAAGGACTCACAGTCCAGGGCAAATGGCCTGGCTGGTGGGCCAAGGGCCCAGAAGGAGGCAGGTGGAAGATGAGGGACAGGAAGGCCTCACAAACAGGCAAGAGGCTGGACCCACAGGATGTGAGCAGGATGCGGAAGTGCCGGCCCCACATGCTCACACCCTCCAGGGACATCCCCGACAGAAGAGGCACCACGTAGCCAAGTTGTCAGGAGGACCAGGCACAGACCACCTGACCCAGAGGTGCAGGAACAGAGCAGCCATGCAGCCCCACAGCTTGGTGGGCTTGGGACCTGCCAGAGACACTGGCTGCTTGCCACACAGGCCTCTCCACAGGGCCACTCACAACCTGCCCACTGGCCCCCAGATTGAAGCTCCAGGTGGAGAGACGAGTCTCTTTACAGTCTTCTTATAACCTCATCTTGGAAGTGACATCCCATTATTGTGACATATTCCATCGGTAAGAACCAAGTCACTAGGTGCAGCCCACATCCAAGGGGAGGGGACCCCACAGGATGCGAAGACCAGGATGCGGGTCACAGGCATCTTCAGGCTGCCTAGCACACCTGCCCCAGAGTAAAAAAGAGAAGTTCAGTCGGGCAAGCTTTCCACAGGCTTCCCTTGGAACAGCCCTAACCAACGAGTAAGCGTTCGAGTTATCTGTAGCTTCCACATTTTGAAATCTTCAGGCAAAAAGTTAGGAAAGATCCCATCCCAAGTCTCTAATGTGCTGTTCTTAGAAAAATAAGAGGCTGTGTACATGACAGAAAGATCACATGCTGCGCAGCCCAACGTGGCCTAAAAAGTACTACTGAACCTTCTGCATCTCAGTTTTCTCGTCTGTAAAATTTCTCTTCTGAAAAAGCCTTGCTGGGCTCCTCGGACGACTGCAGATAGAAGACATAAAGTGCCAGCCTGCATTAAGTTGCTCACAGCTGATATGGCACAACCCCTGGCTGTTTATAGGCAGATGTCCCAGCAGGTGCCCGAGGTGAAGACAAGTCAAAGAGCAACAGAAGCTGAGCTGAACGGCACACACAGGGCTCCCTATCTCTTGGGGGCTCAGACCCCTGCAGAGACCTTCACCCCAGCTGCAGACTCACCCTACTTGGCAAAACCCTACACGGAGAGGGCCGTGGTGCAGCTTTCCAGCTGGGACCACTACTGCTGTGAAGGTCGCCCTGTCTGCAAGCAGGTAGCACAACACACACCTTCTGTCGCAGCAGCAACAGCATGGGCAGCAATCCCAACTGCTGCCTGGCCTGACGTGCCCTTGAGCTAGCTTGAGACCAAGCAGGCACAGTGTCCAATAGCTGATTCCTCTTCCCAGCCACCACATCCCTCGCCCTCCCCTGTGCCCTGCCACCTCTCTTCTCCTTGAAGAGTGCGAGGAGGGGCAGCTACTACAGAGGGGTGTTTGCCACACCCACAAACACATGCCGGGTAGCTCCTTCACATCCAGGAACATTCTTGCAGTCCACGCATGTGCTCACAGAGGCATGCACTGGAATGTTCCTGAAGTTCCCTCCAGAGTAGACTATTTCCAATTTTCCACTGAGTGTCTGTCAATAGCAGAATGGATTAAAAATTGTCATGTACCCATAATGGGATTCTATATAGCAAGTAAGATGATGGAATCGAATAGGCAGGACACAGAGGACTTTTAGGGCAGTGACTCTACTCTGTATGACACTATAGTGGTGGATGCAGTGTTGTACACTTGTGCAAACCTGTGGTCAGTGCAACACAGAGCAGGAGCCCTCACATAAACTATGGGCTTTAGTTACTCATAGTGTATCCATACCGGCCCATCTCTTGTAACAAATTATCATGCTAATGCAAGATGGTAATAACCGGTGCATTCTTATTGGTGGGACGAGGGGAGAGGGAGTATATGGGAACTCTCTGTACTTTCTGCCCAAGTTTTCTTAAACCTGAAACTGCTCTAAAAAATAAAATCTATTCATATTTTAAAAGGAATATAGATTTATCAAACAAAAAAAAGAGCACACAAAATGATACTCTGCGTCTGTGGCTCAAAACCATATCTGCAAAAAGGGACAAGATAGGACCTGCCTCAGTAGATCTTCTGAGGATTAAACAGGTTCATTTCTGAAAGTGTTTACGACAGCACCTGGTGCACCAAAGAGAGCGCTACACACCACGGTGGTCTACAGATGCATCAAGGGGCAGAGAAGGCACAGAACTGTGCGACGGAGCTGCCTGGGAAGGAGTGGTGACACTGCAGAGGGGAGGGGGGACTCGGGTGGAACCTGAAGGAGAGTCGGGCACATCTGTGGTTTCCATTTTTAAAACGTTGAAGAAGAAAAGAAGAAAAACTAAAATTAAATTACCTCCAGATCATCAAGGGAGCGGGTGATACTGAATCTCTTGGATCTTCCAAACGATCTCCGGGCAGAGGTGCGTTGAGAAGTGTGCACAAGTCCAATTCCCCGCCCAAATTTTGAGCCCTAAACACAAAGAAAAAAATGTATCCATTACCCTCTTGGGCAGAGATGCGTGGCTTTGCCCAACGCACTGCACGGGAGAGAGCCGAGGGGGCCGTGCACATCTGTCAGGCATATTTCACACAACAAAACAATGCAAAACTGAAGAAAAGAGTCATGCCAGGATCTTCACTTACTGGCTCTGCCAACCGTGCACTCCAGACAATGTCTCCGGCCTCGGTCTCCGTAATCACAACACAGGATGACTACAGCCTACCTTGAGAGGCTGTTACTAAGATCAAATAAAATAACATGTACAAATGTTTTGGAAAGCATGCGTGTACAGTAAGAGTAATCGTTATTAATATAAAGGCTGGTGTTCAGCAAGGTCATGCTGTTACATAATTTTATGAGCATTTTAGGAAATGAAAGAATGCCTAAACATGCAGCTGGTGTCTGAAGACCAAACCAACCCTGATGCATAAAATAACTGGCTATTAAAACACCCTGTGTTCTTCCTCCAGGAAATGACCAGAATTAATTCAATTCACCAAACATCTATTTTGTGCCTATCATTATGCCAGACACTTCCCCAAATACAATGTTGGTTCCGGCAAATAAATCATCTCATCTTAAAAATAAAAAGCATCACAGCTGGCAAGCTCTGATTTTCTGACTACTTGGAATCCTATGTGACCAGTTTGAGCATAAAGGAAGCTAATGTGTTTATCTAAAGGTTGCGTGGCTCTTTGACTTCCTCTGTGTCTCCACCTGACTAAGAATCCTGTGCATCTTGTCGAAGACCCTGCAGCGATTCTTCGTTGAATTCTAGGAGCTTTTAAACTTGGGCAGTCCCTGCCCACAACTGGGATTGTGAAGGAGTGACACCACCAGCCTTCCAGAGTCCACAGAGGCACTTGCGCTCACAGCCACCAGCCTACTCTCACACTACCCCCTCCAGCTCCAGCCCACCTCTTCCTTCCCAGCTCCCTGCTGTGTGGACGCCCCTCCCCGACTCCAAGTCTCCTCAGATCCACATCCCTCCAGGAACCTCCTCCAATTTCAAAATCCTCCCATGCTCATTCCTGGCCCTCTGCCAAGTGCCCCCCCCCACGCCTCCATCTTCCCAGCCTACTCCCTCTGGTGTCCCTGCCCCAACCCTCTTTACCAGGACTCCAGTCCACTGATGGCACCTGTCCTCACAGCCCCCTCAGCCAACCTAGGGCCACGCACAGATCATCATGAAACCCACCCTTGTATGCACTTGCAGCACCCGTCCCTCTCCCCATGCACGTGCCTGATAAAGCCTGACCCTTAAATTAAACTCTCCACCTCGTCTGCACCTTCACCCAAGCCATGTGTCTGGTGGACAAACAGCCAGGGGGCTCCTCCCACTTGACCATTCTGACACCAACCCCAGCAATGTGACTACCTTTCCCTCACTCACCCCAGATCACTTCAGCCTCTTCTCCACCAAGCCGCCACATCTCCAATGCCCCCTCCTCTCAGTTAATAACCTTTGATTATGTCATTAATAAATGGACATTACTGGGAGTTCCACGTGCTCGCACTGTTAGATCCACCCCGACCAGCATCTCCCCACCCAGCTGCACTGAGCCCAAGAGCGTCCCCTCACCTGCTCAGGACAGCATGCCATCTGCGGTCATTCCTAACAGCAAAGGACAACCATGCTCCTCATCACAAGTCCCTCCTGCCCTCTCCCTGCTCCTGTCAGGCCGGGGTAGGGTGCCCGGGGCATCCTGACCTGCTGGTCGTATCCTCTCCCCTCTTCCTGGCCCCACAGCTGCGCCCCTCACTCTCCTCTGCTGGAGCCTCGGCCTCTCCCCAGAATTGCCGGGGCGTGCAGCGGGGCCAAGAGCACAGTGGTTCGGCCCTGACGACTGTGAACACGCAGGCAGGTGACCACCATAGCCGATCGCTCAACGCCCCACACCGCCGTGTTCCCCACAAGCATCTCCTAGGCTCCACACTCGCCCCTGGAGGCTCCTGGTGAGGGGAATGAAGGCCCGGAGCCATGTATTTTGCTCACAGGAAGAACCTGGAGACCCTGGGGCCTCACTGGGGGCGCTGACCACCGCACAACAGTAGAGCCAGCTGCTGGGGAGACCAGGCCACGGTTCATCCGTGTTGTGGCATGTGTCCGAACTTCCTTCCTTTTCAGGGCTGAATACTATCCTACTGTACGGATATACCACTGTTTGCTTATCTACTCATCTACGGATGGACACGGGTTACTTCTACCTTCTGGGCATTGTGAATAATGCTGCTGTGAACACAGGTGTACAGATATCTGCTCAAGTCCCTGCTTTCCATTCTTTGGGTATATACCCAGAAGTGGAATTCCTGGATCATATCGTAATTCTACTTTTAATTTTGGGGGGAACCACCATCTGTCTTCCATAGCAGCTGCACCAACAGTACACAAGCGTTCCACTTTCTCCACGTCCTGGCCCACACTTGTTACTTTCTGGTTTTCTGGTTTTTGTTGTTTTTGTTTTTTATAGTAGCCATCCTAATGGTACGAGGGGTAAGTCATTCTAGTTGGTATTTGCATCTCCCTAATGACTAGGGATGTTGAGCACCTTTTCATGGGCTTGTTGTGCATTTGTATATTTTCCTTGTAGAAATGTCTACTTAAGTCCTTTGTCCATTTTTTAATTGAGTTGTTTGCTTTTTTGTTGTTGAGCTGGAGGAGTTCTTCATATATTCTAGATATTAATCTCTTATCAGATATATGGTTTGCAAATATTTTCTCCCATTCTGTGGGGTGACTTTTCAGTCTGTTGATTTGATCTAATACAACTTAAGTATATTTTTCTTGTGTTGTGCACACTGCTAGAACTAAAAATTCCTAGCCCAAACAGTCTACACACTAGAACAAAAGCACCAGCAGGGCAAGAACTGTGTCTGTCCTGGTCACCACTATACCCCCTCCCTCCCACAGGGCTTGGTACATCGTAAGTACTCAACAAATATTTCCCGAACAAATAAATTCTAAGCAAGAGACTATTTAGCTTAAAACAGGGACCAGATCATATGAAGGTTTTTCCAAAGAGCGATAATATAAAGAATTATGAGGAGTGAGATTTCCAGCTCACATATTTATTCTCCTGGCGTATTAGTAAAGGTCTAGTCAGACAACAAAAACCATGCCGTAGTTTTAAAGAGAGAAGTCAGTGCAGAGAAGCTCTACCCAGGTGCGAAAGGGCCGCAAAGGCAAGAAGAGACAAGGCTGTGGTGGAGGCAGCCATGCGGCCAGCAGCTTCCCCTCAGGCAGGGAGACCCAGAGAAGACGAGGGACCCCGAAACTCAGCACAGGGACCCAGACGTCAGACGGGGGTCCTGAGGGGCCACAGGGTTGGCTCAGTGAGTGAGGGGAACAGCAAATGGGACCCGGGGGCTGCAGGAGAAGGCGCAGGGCCAGCAGGGACTCACTGGTGCAGAATCAAGGCTCGAGCTAGAGGCAGCAGCTGCACCTCTGGTCAAATTCTGTTACAACAAAACCCCATATGCCGGGAAGATTTCTCAGCCCAAAATCAAAACAATTTTAGAGTCAAGAAAATCCCATTTCAAACATAAAAGTGGACAAACTTGTAGCAGTAGCTTATGGAGTCATGTGTAAGGAGCAGAAGAAAGGTTGCCTGGTCAGGGTGACTTACCATAGGGAGAAAGGAAAGACAAAAATGTACAAAGACTGGGTCTCCCATTCAAAAGAAGAAAAAGAAAAGGATGAATACATAAGAAAGGGATATTTGAGACAGTAAATTAAATTATTCAATGAATATCTAAGGGCCAAGCAAGCAGCTGGGACTAGAACTAGAAAGAGACAAAGCTTGTGACTTCCACACCAATAAAGGAGGGATGGCATTCCTTGGCCTGCAGATGCAACACTCCAATTTCTGCTTCCATTCATGTGGCGTTTTCACTGTGTCTCTTCACATCATCACTTATGAGGATACTAGTCACATTGGCTTAGGAGCCCACCCTACTCCAGTCATTTTAACTTTACTAATTACATCTGAAATAAGCTTATTTTCAAAATAAGGTCACATTTGGGGCCGGCCCGGTGGCGCACTGCTACAGTGCGCCGCTTGGGAGCGCAGCGGCGCTCCCGCAGAGGGTTCGGATCCCACATACAGACCGGTTCCCGCTCACTGGCTGAGCGAGGTGCGGGCACAACACCGAGGGTTGCGATCCCGTTGCCGGTCCCGGTCCGGTACGGGGGTGACACTGAGGGTTGCGATCCGTTGCCGGACACGAAAAAAGACAAAAAGGAAAAAAAAAAAAGGAGGGGAAATGGAGCAAGGAAACAAACCAAATAGCCTTGAAAACAAAACTGAACTCTCTTAGTCCGTTTGTGTTGCTATAACAGAATAACCGAGACCGGGTAATTTGTAAAGAACAGAGGTATATTTGGCTTACTATTCTGGGACAGCTGCATCTGGTGCGGGCCTCAGGCTGCTTCTACTCATGGTAGAAAGCGGCAGGCAGCCGACGAGCAAATCAAATGGCGAGAGAAAGCGAGAGGTGTGTGTGTATGGGGGGGACAGGGTATTTTAAACAACCAGCACTCACAGAACTAATAGAGGGAGAACTCACTCACTACCCCACCCCAGGGCAAGCACTAATCCATTTATGAGGGATCTGCCCCACGACCCAAACTGCTCCCAACATTGCCACATTGGGGATCAGATTTCCATGAGTTTTGGGGGTACAACACATCCAAACTCTATCATGAACTAAAAATGAAGCCAAGAAAGCAGGGAGGGAAAGCCTAGGAAAAACCAGGTTTACAGGAAGTAGAGACCAATACGTTGGAACCAAGAGTCAATATGCCAGTCATCCTAATGTATAAATGGACTAAATTTGCCAATTTATTTTGATCTTATTCTTAAACTGTCAAGAAAATCTCAAATTGGATTAGGAAAAAATCCAACTATCTACCACTTATAGTAATAATCCTAAAACACGGAGAAATGGAAAAGTTTAAATAAAAGGACAGA